TCAAGGATTTTGCTATATCCCCAAGATCAGCAAGACGTATTCTTCCTGTTCACCGTCTCTTCGGGACGGTTTAGGTCCGTTTGGACCACCCAGTGGCAAAAGTGTTGGCTGTGGTCTCAGAGCATTGAGACCACACAACCATCTTGTCGCAACATTGGTTCCTCCTCCACTGACACACTATTTTCAATCAGGGTGAATAAAGATTTTGGCTGGACAAGTGTTTTCCAACCCTTGGCAACTTTTTAGATGTGATTGGACTTCAACTCCCAGAATCCCCCAGCCGGCCATGCTGGCTGGGGAATTCTGGGAGTTGGTGTTCACATATTTTAAAGTTGTCAAGTTTGAGAAACCGTAGTCTAGGAAGTCCACAGTCTGTATTTTGTGCTGCGATTATCTTTTTCCCCAGCCCTCATTTTTTTTCACTCTTCTTTGTTTCTTCCTTTTTTTCACAGCTCCGCTACCTCTACATCAGGGCACAAAGGAGCGTGGCTCTCCCAGCCCATCTCCAAATCCCAGTTTTGGGGAGCTCTCTGTGTCTGATGTCACCAGCAACTCTGCCCGCCTCTCTTGGAACGTCCCTGCGGAGACCTTTGACTCCTTCCAGATCCAATACAAAGATGCGGAAAACAAACCACAAATGGTCCCTGTGGACAAGGAAACCAACACCTTTGTGATCTATTATCTGGTACCTTCCCATAGGTACAAGTTCAATCTGTACGGCATCTCCGGACGCAGGCGCTTTGGACCAATCACTGCCAGTACTGTCACAGGTGAGGAGCAGGTTTAAACCAGAGGTAGGAAACGATGGCCCCTTTATGACTGGTGGACTTCAAATCCCAGAATTCCTGAGCCAGCATGACTCAGGAATTCTGGGAGTTGAAGTCCACCAGTCATAAAAGGGCTATCGTTCCCCACCTCTGGTTTAAACAATACGATTCTTCCCTTTGCAATTTTTCTTTCCCTTTTTTTTCTCCACGAAAGAGCTTTTTCTTCCAAACAGCCCTTCCTCACAGCTTTGATTTCCCAGCTTATTTATGTATTTTGTTAGATTTGCGTGTTGGCTAGCTTACCTATTGTGACGTCATTCTCGACTCAATTAAATAATAAATCAGAATATATTAAAATACAGTATATTAAAAGAGTCAAACTATTTTCCAAAGCACCAAAAGGCCAGACAAGAAAGAATGAAACTAACCAAGGAGAGAAGCTACTTAGAGCTAAGGAGCAATTTGCTGACAGTGAGAACAATTAATCAGTGGTATTTGGTATTTATTCGATTTGTAAGCCGCCCTATTCCCCGAAGGGACTCAGGGCAGCTGAACAAAAACCAGGGGAAG